ACTGACTTGGGGTTGAGTCCCTGTTCTGCCAATGTACATTTAACAGCCACTGCCTCTTCATACCTGATTCTTTATGAGGAAAGTGAGAATCAAAATGAGCTCAACCTCTGTGAGTTTCCAGTAGATGCTACAGATAAAACCCCAGGACAGAGCACCTGAGGTCTCAAGGGATCCACTGCCTGGCTTGCAGGTGGAGCTCAGGGAATGAGGCGGCTTCCTGCTGGAGGAGAGCAATAGGGCTCCCTGGAAGATCCAGAGCTTTTCATGAAAGTGGAGATGAGGTTACCACCTTGTACCTCTCCTCAGCTAAGTTTCTACTATGGACAACCTAAGAGCAAGAGCTAAGGAGAACCAATTTTGAAAGCATCCGGGACCTACCTCCTGCAGTACCTACTTCTGACCACTTGGAGGCAGCAGGGAGTGGAACTGGAACTCGGCCTCCTTCCAGCTGCGGAGGCTGCAGTCTGGCTGCTGTCCAGTCCCTCTCCCAGGAGTGCCGATGGGGTCTCCAACACCCTTCCGCCTCCAGCCAGTTCTTCGGAGAACCAGAACTGGAAGACCCCCGTCATATCCAGATGTTCGATGCTCCCCACAACCCCGAGAAGCAGCCATAATTCTCCCTACTTTTCAGATGGGGAAACTGATGAGTTAGACCAGAGAAGGGAGGACTTGCACAAAGACAACCAAATGTGCCAGAGCCAACTTCTCATCCCTCTCCCTTAGCTGCCATCCCCATGGGAGAGGCCATGTGAAAGGAGAGGGCTGCAGCCAGACTGACCTGGCTGGAAGCCTCTTCTCGCCTCCAGCTGTGTTGCTGGACCACTCATCTACCCGCTCTGATCCTTGGCTTATGTCAGTGCCTGGAACGTGGCAAGGACTGTGCAAGAGGCTCCTGCCTAGCTTCTGGTGGATGTCACACTCCACAAGAGTGACACATGTCTACCTTCCTCACCTGGCCCCTGCCATCAGGGTTTTCCTCCTTGATTCCCCTCCACAACCCTGGACCCACCCTTTCGCCTCTCTCCTCCCCAGGAAGCCCTCCCTCTGCACACACCTACCCACATAGGCTTTGAGGGAGAGGGAGGGAGCCCTTCTCCTCGGCACCCCACTACTCTCCTCTCCCAACACCCGCCCTTGTCTCCCAGCCCCCTCTCCTCAGCCTTGCCTCTCCCTCGTCCCCCTCTCCTGCTGAGTCTCCGTTTGCTGTGCACTGCAACTGTGTTTACAAGACAGCTATGACAGTTTTTTATTTCTCTCTTTTGTCTCCCTTCCTCCCCTGAAGGAAAATGCGCTTCCAGTCTCCTAGGAAGAAATGAAGGCTCTAGACCACAGGACACAAAGGACATTGGGACCATTGTGACACCCCACTCCCATACGAGTCCCAAATACAAACAAGCGTTCATGTGCATGCTTGCATGCATAAAAACAGGCACACATGCACACACACACACACACACTCATTTCCCCTCTAGCTGGAGTCTCCAAGAGCAGCTGTGTTATTTCGGGGGTAATTGAAGATGTCGATCTTTATTCTAGAGTATAAACAGGGCAGAGGGACACAGGAATCAAGAAGGTTAGTAGTGGTGGGGACCAGAGGAATGGAGGCCCCATGGGGAGAAGAGCTAGACCAGATGGGAGGCTGCAGACACAGACCGCGGAGGGGAACAGCAGGAAGTACTCTTTCCACCATGGGCAGCTGGGACATGCGCCTTCCCACCCTTAGGACTCCAGGAGACATTCTCCAAACAGCTATCATCCCACCCCATGAGTGTGAGGACAGAAGGGCCGTCTCCCGGGTGCTCCTTCTGAGTCCTGGTCAGCAGAGACACCTCGACTTATCCTGGTAGATAAGTGTCTCCCTTGACCCAGAGCACCCCAACTCCTTCATGAGCACAGAGCACTGTCCTCCCAGCCCAGCCCCTACCTCCGTGTGTGTGTGTGTGTGTGTGTGTGTGTGTGTGTGTGTGTGTGTTTGCACGGGCCCTGCCACCTTGTAGTCTACACCCTTTATTTCTGGGGAGTAGGGGTGCAACTGTGAGCCAGGCCCAGGTGTGAGAGATGAGGAGGTGCCTGGGGTACCTGGAGTGCTACAAGGGGTGGGTAGTGTCTGCTGTGGAGTCTAAGGGAGGTTCTTGCTTTCTCCCTGGGAGGACAGTTCACGGCATGTGTTTGGGGGTAGTTGGTGTAAGATAGAAGGTAAACTGAGTTTTCCATTTCTCTGGGAGATATCTTGGCTCCGTGTGCCTGTAACTAAGGGACATATGCCCACTAGTGACTCTCATTCTCATTCTCTTTCTTCATTCTCTCCATCCTTCAGAACCCAAATTCATTCCAAGAGTCCCTTCTAGTGCTCAAGTCCAACCCTACTCATATCTGGTGAGCCCAGGGGCCAAGCTGATCTGTGTGGTGAAGAAAAGGTGAGACCTACTCCCAGGATAAGTAAAACCTCTAATCCCACACTTAACCCTAATCCTGGTCACACATAAAAACCAGTTTGGGCACTGCTCGTTAGTTATGTAGTCAGGGTTGTTTCTATGTCCTGAGACTCAGTTTCATCTTTCCTACTGTGGTCTCGGCCTAGGCTAGGCACCCCGTCAAAAAGACCTGTTCAGAGACTGGTGGGAGGCTCACCCAACCTGACGACACAGGGGAACTCAGTGGCTGCCACCTGCCACCCCCATCCCCGTCCAACGTTTCAGCCCAAGCATCACTAATTTTTGCAGCTGCTGTGATAAATGGCATTGTCGGCAAAATGACATCTTTCTAATCTGCTGCAAGACAGATGGGTCCCTGAGCAGGCTCCTCTCTCTCTCTCTCTCTCTCTCTCTCTCTCTCTCTCTCTCTCTCTCTCTCTCTCTCTCTCTCTCTCTCTCTCTCTCTCTCTCTGGAGAGCCTGCCCAGGCCAGCCTTGCTGAGGTATGCAGAGGACAGTCATGGACTCAGGGTCTGGGAAGAAGAAACTTCAAGGCTCTGAGGCAGCTATGAAGCCAAGTGGTTGCTACAAGCCTTTCCTAAACCCCGCTGGGTCTCTTAAAATTCCTACAATGATCTCGGTTCTTTGCCACCCATACTTAGGTCTATTCGATTCAGTTTTCATTTCAGGCAAAATCTCAATTCTAGCCCAAGTGTAAGTGGCACACACCTAGAATTTCAGCACTCAGAAACTAAAGTGTGAGTGTCACAAGGCCAAGGCCAGCCTGGGCTACACAGAAAGACCCTGTCTTTTAAAAGAAAACAAAATCCCGGAACTGGGGAGAAGGCTCACTCAGTAAACTGCCCAGCACACAAGCACCAGGACTTGAGTTTGATCCCCAGCATACGCCTTTAATCCCAGCACTCGGGAGGCAGAGGCAAGTAGATACTTTTAGAGTCCAGGACAGGCTCTAAAACTACGCAGAGAAACCCTGTCTCAAGAAAAAAAAAAAAAGAGGAAAGAACTATTAGACATGGCAACACCACCTGTAATCCCAGCCCTGAGGAGGCGGAAACAGGAGGATTTCAGGGGATTCCCTGGCCAACCAGTCCAGCCAACCTGAGGAGCCTCCAGATCAATAAAAAACCTGGACTCAAAAATTAAAAGTGGTGAGGAATTGAGGCAGACTCTAAATGTTGACTCTGGCCTCCAGGTGCACACATATGTGTACATGTATGCACATGTGTGTGCACACACATAAACACCTAACACACACACACACACACAAAACAGTTTTTTAAGAATCCTGTATACTTCTTGCTCTTACAAGGATGAATCATTTGGGAAGTCTGGTGGTGCAGACCTAGAACCCCAGTTACTCTGAAAGCTAATGCAGGGGCACCCTGAGTTCAAAGCCTGCCTGGGCTGCAAGTTTAAAACCAGCCTGTTCTAAAATAAGGGAGGGAGTTGGGTGTAGTGGCATGCACCTTTAATCTCAGAGGCAGGCAGATGTATGTGAGTTCAAGGCCAGCCAGATCTACATGCAGAGTTCCAGTAAAGCCAGGATTACAAAAAGAGACACTGTCAATAAAATAAAATAGAGGGGACAAGCTATCAGACACCAGCTCTGGTTCTGAATGCCCACCAGTGGACTCGTGAAGGGTAAGAATCAAGAGTCAAGGAATGCGAATGTCCCCACCTACAGGTACCTGCTGACCACCCAAAAGCAGGTGGAGCCAGGCCGGGCCCTGAGGACTGAGGCAGTGCTGCCCTCCCCTGGCCACATTGATGTTCTCTGCCAAGCTGAGCTGCTGAGATTGTGGAAGCGGCAACCGACTCTCCAAAGACAGAGTGTGACACTCAGAGCCCCTCCCAGTAGCCCACAGGCTGACCACAACCTCCAGCACTTCCCATGCTGGCCAGCTTTCTCCAACTGCTCAAAGGCTTCCGGAAGTACTGTCTTCACTGGGTGTAGTGTTGTGCACTAATCCCACACTTGGAAGGCTGAAGACAGCTTGGGCTACAAAACAAACAACAAAACCACTGTGTCCTATCTAGCTAACGCCCTCGGGGTACAGCTGGAGTTCCTTGCTAGATCTTCCCCTCAGCTTGTACCCTTTGGTCACCCTGCATGCTGTCACGACTTCTACCTGTCCCCAACAGTCTCCACATGTCCATTCAGGTCCTTTTCCAGGAGCCTGACTTTCCTGAGCCCAAACCAAGATGATCCCTCCCATTTCTGCCCATGTCCTGACTTCTCTATCTTGAGGATGGACCACTGACAGGAACCAAATATACAGCCCTAGAACTGGGGGGAATTTAAACTTCATTCAAGACTATCCTGTACTATTGGAAAGGGACTGTAAGACCCAGAGAAGTGCAGGAAAATGCCACACAGCTTGTCAGTGGCCACTCTAAGGTGGGCCTGCCCAGGCTACCTAGAGCTCACACAGCTGCTTCCCCTAGGGACCACCAACGAAACCCATGTATATGCATAAATCATAAATATATGTACCAAGGATCCCCAGGCCCTCACCCAGAGCAGGGTCCAAAGGAAGCAGCTGAGAACGTTTGCAAAACAAAGGAATGAATAAACAAAAATATTTATCTAATGCTTCTTGTGTTGGTCACTCAGCAGGCACTAGCTCTGCTACAGGAATCCTTGATCAGGTTGCTCAATGTCACACAGAAAAAAATAGCATCTGTGAGGAAGGAGGGGCATGTACCAGCAGTGGCCTCAGTCAAGAATGTCCACAATTAGTGGGCACAGGTGAGGCGAGTGTTTGGTGCCCATGGTGAAGGCAGGTATGCGGGGCTTGTGCATAGTGACCAGCTGGACGTTGTGGGAGCCAGGGCCAGGACGAAGTGTGTGGTCCAGCGGATAGGCAATGCGCTTGGCCATGCTGAACACAGGGCTGCGGTTCTGGTAGACGGATGGCTCAGGTCGGGCACGCATAGCAGGTCCAGGACCTCCTGCTATATTCTCTTTGTAGAACCAATTCTTGTTCGAGGAAGCCAGGCTAGAGCAGGGGGCAGCTCGCAAGACTGGGATGTTGGGCCCCAGTGAGAGTGGCAGCTGGTACCGGTTGGGGGCCGGGTTGGGATCCATCACTCTGTATGGACACCGGTAGCCAAACGTGTACTGGGGAGCTGTACGTTCCCCAGGGGGGTTAATCTTCTCAGCTTTGTAGTGGCAGGGGTCTGGGGTGGCGCTTATCCCTGAAAGGAAGGAAGGTGGGGAGAAACTCACAGGCCCTGGTGGGAGCTGCTGGATCAGGGAGGGAGCTGAGTTCCTGCCCAGCCCTGGGGGCTTCAAAAACAAACAAACAAACAAACAAACAAACAGCTCAGCAACAGGGCAGGGACATTAGGACTACATGATGCCGTGGGCAGGGAAAGGGCCCCAAGACAGTCACCATGATGGTGACATTGTTTTCATAAAACAAAAGCTATCACTGCCATTGTAGCAATGATTCATTAGCTGTCAACATGATGGCATTGCCCCAAGACCCATGACAGCACCAGGAAATTTTCTTTAGGTCACTAGGTCTGTGAGCTCATTAGCATGACAATATTGCTACTTTGACATGAGCCCTGTGACATCATAACACAATGTATATTATAACATTGGCTTCTATGTATAAAAGCAATGACACATATATGGTGATGGCAACATCATGCTATTTGTGTCATACACACACACACACACACACACACACACACACACACACACACACACACGCACGCACGCACGCACGCACGCACGCACGCACGCACGCACGCAACCCTGACTGGCCTGGAACAAGCTGTCCTCTGCTTTCCAGGTGCTGAGATTACTACTATGGGCCACCATACTTAGCGAACATGGGAGTCCTGATGAGGTAATGAGCAGATGCCAGCATCTCAGATACGCCCCTGCTTGGCCCCTCCCCAGGTTCTAAGGAAGGATGCCTCCCACACCCCACCCTCCCAATGGCCCACCTTCTCAGCCCATCTTACGAATGTTGGAGATGTGCTCCTCCATGGGGACCTGGGGGCAGGTAGACATTCCAAAACGAGTTACTTTGGGATCCAAGATATAGCAAGGTCCGGGACTGTACGTATCTATGATCCCTGCAGGGGACAAGGAGGGGCCTGCCTGTCACAACTGCCACCCCACCAAGGGCTCCCTTCAGATTCCTGTGTGCGTGACTGCTGGAGGCTGCTGGCAGGGCCAGATAAGAGAAGGAGGACCACAGTGTGGTCAGTCTCCTACCACAGACAAGTCTGGGTTGGTGCCAAGGGTAGTGACAACCACTGTAGCTATTGAGAATGTGGAGAAAGAGCTCAGTCCCAGCCAAGAAACCTCTGCCAAGGAGCTATGACTTGGGGAAGGGAGTCAGGCACCCTAAACCTCGGGCCCCCAAACAAACGACCATATCCCCACCCCACCTCTCATTTCAATGACCTTGGCTATCAGCCACCAGTCATCTCTGACTACTGCAAGCATCCCCAGCAGAATATGCGACACCAGAGCTGAAGAGACCCAGGGAAAGAGAGCCCTGCTCTGCCAGTGACAGTTCTAGGCCCCCACAGCTCCCTGGGGAGATCTGTCCAACCGGCTGCACAGAGCGGCCTTGACATGTGGGGGTCCACTTAGGTCTCCATCTTCACCGGCCCCTGTCCCCAGTGGCCTGTGGCTGCAGTCTTGGACAGTAGCCCTGACCCTTCAGGGACAGACAGTGGGGAGTGCTCACGTTTCTCGGTGTGCCGTGCGTGCAGGCTGTAAGCCGGCTCTTGAAACATAGAGGGGTCGTGGTCTATGTAGCCAGTACAGGATGGCCGGAGGTACTTGGCAGGCCCTGGACCTATGAGGACAGACAACACAACCTTTAGCCTCGGCCCCCAGTGTGATGTGCCATGAGAACACAGGGGCTTTGCTCTGATTGATGGCACACTGCCACGGAGCTGGGCGCCGGGTGGGCTCCCTACAAGGAAGGTAGTATGCAGAGCTAAAACGCAATTTCCTGCAGATCCACAGCCCATTGTGAGAAAGCAACAGCCACGGTTCATTGAGGACTTGGTCTGCACTGAGATTCATACGAACCACTTGATGGCGTTCTTCCAGTTGAGCCTCTAGACAACCTTATTAAGACAGACACTCTTCTCTTTTCCATCTTACAGATAACAATACTGAGGCTAAAAAAAAATCTATCCAGCTACAGTAACTGGTGATGTGAGAATCGACAGAACCGGAACATTTGATCACTGCTCTAAGACACTTCCCATGTAATCACCGGCCAATAGCAACCTAGTGAGAATTCATCTGCCTGGCCGCCACTGAAAAGAAGGAGGCATCACTAAATGTGGGAAACAGCTGAGTGGTGGAGTTCTCGCCTATAATGTATGGGTCCCTGAGTTCAATTCCTAGCACCTATAAAAGTGAAAACTGAGCTAAACACTCTAATCCTTTCCCCCAAAGCATGTTATATGCCCCCACGTTCCAACTCTCTTAGCCGGCTCACAGAGCCAGTGGGCCTCGCTCGGAGGTGCAGGTTGCTTTAAGGTTTTGAGGGGTACTTTCTGGGGCTCTGCTGGAGGCGGGGCTGGCAGGCTAGGCCCTTGACAGCAGCCCAGCAGAGTGGACCCTAGAGTAGGGCTGCTCTCACCTTTGATTGTGGCCATGACGACAGGGGTCTGCTTTACTTCCTGCCGTGAGGGCATTTCTTCCCTCTTCTCTGGGTGCTGTGCATAGAACACACAGTTCCTGGCCTCCTTGGGCAGTTTCATGGTGAAGACTGGGAAGAAACATGAGCAGTTACCAACAGTAGCCCTGCCCAGGCCCCCTCCATCCACTCCCCACCCCACTTAAGAGACTCCAAACAGCTGGGGACTGAGGGGAAAGATGCCTGGGCTCAGCAGCTGAAGCCACAGAGGTACAGCCAGCACAGGGCCCAGTGACTGGAGTGGAGAATGACATCACATCACGGCAGAACTTGTACTGTGAGGCCCGGAGTGTTTATTTCTCCCGTTGCCGTGGCGCCTGGACTGTGGCATAGCAGCTCTGTGTTAAGAACCCAGCTACAGGAAAATTCAACTCCATTGCCCACTCTTACATCCAACCAGGCTCAATGCCCTGGGCGTTCCTCAATAGCCCTAGTCTGAGAAGGGAGTAGTGAGTGACATGACCCTTGAGCCAGCTACCAGTGGGTATCTTATGACAGAGGACAGGAACAGAAAGAGTGAGTAGGTCCTGGGTGATGAGTTCTTGCTCACCCCCACAGCCCTCTGGGACCTTCTAACTCTGTCCCTTTCACCAGTCTCCCCCAGACTCTGGACAAGTGCTTTCTTCTATCAGTCTTCCTGTTTAAGCTAAACTATTGTCCACTAAGCTGTGACTGTCTCACAGTCCCTTCCCAGGCTCTTTTGCCAGGGCACGGTATCTTTAAAGATCCACATCTAGCTAAAGGGATGCTTACCTAATGGTGGCATTTCAGACACAGAGTGAAGGCAAACAGGAGGGGGGCTCACACTCATGTCCACAGCTGCCCATGCCTACAGTGGAGAGCACCGCTGAGGGAATATTCTGGGAAATGCTGAGGGATGGAGCAGCATGCAGGCTCCACATGATGGAGGGATGGGCTCCAGGGCTGGGAAAACTCCAGAGACCTCTTCACCCCTGAGAGCTCAGGCAGATCCAGGGCTTCCATCCACCCCTGGGATTTGATCTGAGCCAGGTCAAGAAAGGTCTTCATCATAGGAACTAAAGGAAGAAGGGTAGTGCCGTTTAGATGGGGTCAGTCACCAACCCAGTGTGGACACCAAGACCACAGCAGGGATCAAGGGTAGATGGGCTTTTCTTTTTTTCTTTTTTTTTTCTTTTTCTTTTTCTTTTCTTTTTTTTTTTTTTTTTTTTTTTTTTGGTTTTTGGAGACAGGGTTTCTCTGTATTGTTTTGGAGGCTGTCCTGGAACTCGCTCTGCAGACCAGGCTGGCCTCGAACTCATAGAGATCCGCCTGCCTCTGCCTCCCGAGTGCTGGGATTAAAGGCATGTGCCACCAGCGCCCAGCTGGGCTTTTCTTTGGGTGACAATTTCACAAAAAAACAACATGGAGACTTATTAGTAATTATAAAAACTCGGCCTATGGCTTAAGCTTGTCTCACTGACTCTTCTAACTTAAATGAACCCATTTCTATTCATCTACGTGCTGCCATGTGACTCGTGGCTCTTATCTGTCCTCCTGCAAGTCTTGCTCCCTTTTCCTCTGGCTGGTGACTCTGCCTTTCTTCCTCCCAGAGCTCTCTGTCTCCAGAAGTCCTGCCTAACCTCTTCCTGACTAGATAATGGCTATTCAGCTCTCTATTTATTTATTTATTTATTTATTTATTTAAGTCTTGTTTTTGTTTTGTTTTTCAAGACAGGGTTTCTCTGTATTGCTTTGGAGGCTGTGCTGGAACTCTCTCTGTAGACCAGGCTGGCCTCAAACTCACAGAGATCCGCCTGCTTCTGCCTCCCGAGTGCTGGGATTAAAGGCATGTGCCACCAATGCCCAGCTCCCTCCTTGTATCTTAGAGTCCCCTCTTGGTCACATGGGTTCCAGTGTCCAGAAAGTAACTCTCCTCAGCTTCTCGGTGCCACCTGTCCCTCACTTACAACCTGGTGGCCCTGGTTCATGACTGCTACTGCCCTTCTCCTAACCCCTGCCATGACCCTGGAAACTTTGGCCCACCCAGAACCCACCCCCCAATCAGTGCCTAGTCACCCTCATCTACAGAGACCTCTGTCAACTCCCTCTGGAGCCCTGGGCTCTGCATTACCTCCCACAACATCCACTGCTGCCTCCCTCTGGACACCAGCTTCCATTTCCCACTCCCTAGCAGTTTCCATGAGACACCTGACTGCTAAGCCTGTACCTCCTCACCCTCAGGCCCTTCCTGCCTTCAGAGCTCTCAACTTTGGATTTGGCAGCCTCAATAAGCCTCATCTCCAGGCAGCTTGCTCCCCTGTCCCCAGACATTGTCCCATCATGTCATACTCCTGTCTACATGACTAGGTCTCCATGCAGTTGCTATTCACCTGCATCAAGCAAAAGCAGGCCATGAAGCCAGGCTGCAACTGCAGCCCTGTCAGCCAGCCCTTCCTATTCCACTACCCGCCGGAAGCTATGGCTGCTCTCCTCAGATTTCCACATGGCACCTCTGATATCTAAGGTCCTTATGTCTACTAAAAACTGTGTTTCTGGGGGGGCTGGACAGATGGTTCGGTGATCAAAAGCACTTGCAGTTCTTCCAGAGGACTGGGGTTCAGTTCCCAGAACCCACATCAACCACCTGTAACTACAGCTCTGGAGGATCCAATACCCTCTTCTGCCCTCTAGGGCCCTACATGCATGTGGTACTCATAAAGGGAAAAAAATGAACCTTTTTAAAACTAAAAACAACTCTGCCCTTGAACCCACACATGTCTCTGTTCCCACCTGTCCCTCTCCACCAATCCACAGGCACATTTACGCAAAGGGTGTTTTCTCTTGTGGTGGCCAGTCTTGCCTCTCCTTCTTGACTCACTGAAAGCTGGCTTTAGGCCTACTGCTCCACCCAAGCTATGCTGGACTAGATGCCCACAGACCTGCACACAGGCACTGCACACAGTGGACTCTCAGCATCACCTTCTGATTTGGCCAACATGGCTGACTACTCCCTGTGTCACCCAGAGCCTCTCCTGGCTCCAAGATGTTCTCCTGGTTTTCCTTCCCTGGTTTTGACTGTCCTTTTATAGGCTTTCTTTTGGCTCTTCTTCCTCACCCTGACCTTTCAGTATTCGCAAATGCTTATTAATCACAAAACGGAAAATACTAAGTTTACTTGGAAGCAGTCTCGGAAGGCTCTCCCTCAACCAGGTGATACATGTGAAGATATGCTTGCTGTGCCAGTATGAAGATCTGAGTTCAGACTCAAAGGATCCACATAAAAAGCTTCCAGGAGGCCAGGCGGTGGGGGCGCACCCCTTTAGTCCTAGCACTCCAAAGGTAGAGGCAGGCGGATCTCTGTGAGTTCAAGGTCAGCCTGGTCTACAGAGCAAGCTCCAGGACAGCCTCTAAAACAATACAGAGAAACCCTATCTCGAAAAACTAAAAAAAACAAACAAACAAAACAAAACAAAAAGGAGGTGGGGAGCAACGCAGAAAGACAACCAGTGGTGGTTGACCTCTGACTTCCATACAGGTGTACACACATATCCCTCACACACAGTATTATTATTACTATTATTTTATATTGTGTATTGTATGGGTATGTGCATGTCACAGTACATGCATAGAGATAAGAGGACACTTGTGTGAGTCTTTTCTCTGCTTCCACTGTGGAATCCAGGGTTTGAGCTCAGGTGTTAAGTCAGTGAGCACCTCTACCCACTAAACTAACCTGTCTTGCTGGTTACAATTTGTGGGGAGGGAGACAGGTATCATCATGTAGCCTAGAATGTCCTGGAACTTGCTATGTAGACCAGGCTGGCCTCAAACTCAAAGAGATCACCTGCCTCTGCCTCCCAGTGCTAGGTCAAAAGGCATGCACTGCCAATACCTCATTTTCAATGTTTTTAAATCAAAACCAAAGCAAAGGCAAATAAAACAAACCCCCACCAAGGGAGATGCTGGAACTTCCTGGTAGGGTGACACAAAGAGGCTACAGCATCACTCTAACATGTTTCACAAAGATGTAAAATCTGAGTCAAACACAAGACCAGAGAAGGCAGGATTCATCCACAAGATGGAGTCACAAAAAATAAAAATTAAAAAAGCCAGTACTGGGGGCTGGAGAGATGGTTCAGAGGTTAAGAGCACTGTCTGCTCTTCCAGAGGTTCTGAGTTCAGTTCCCAGAAACCACAGAGTGGCTCACAACCATCTGTAATGAGACCTGGTGCCCTCTTCTGGCCTGCAGGCAGACATGCAGACAGAACACTGTGTACATAATAAATAAACCTTTTTTTTTTAAAGCCAGTATCACAGAAAAAAAAAATCCTGAACTGTGCCAGATTTATAAAAGAGAGGGGGGGAGGGGAAGGGGAGAGAGAGAGAGAGAGAGAGAGAGAGAGAGAGAGAGAGAGAGAGAGAGAGAAAGAGAGAAAGAGAGAAAGAGAGAAAGAGAGAAAGAGAGAGAAAGGAAGGAAGGAAGGAAAGAAGGAAGGGAGAGAGAAAGCCAGACAACACAATGCAGCATGAAGGGCAGGGCAAGAGATGTAATTAAGAAAATTAGCCAAATCAGAAAAAAGACTGGTTTATTTCCTGATGGATCACTGCACTCCTAAAAGAGAAGATCTTTGTTCCTAGAAGACACATACTGACTTGTTTAAAGGAAAGTGCTGAGTGTTGTGGCATCTGCCTTTAGTCCAACGCTCAGGAGGCAGAGGCAGGCAGGTCTCCATGAATCTGACCAGACTGGTGTACACTAGTGTGGAGAGTAGACCAATGTAGACTGGTGTAGAGCTCCATCGTAATCAGGGCTGCACGGAGACCCTGTCTCAAAAATAAACAAAAGTGTGGCAAAGTATTAACACTTTGGAAATCTAAACAAATTAAAGTGTGAAGAGTATGTGAGGACTATCTGTAATAATGTTGCCACTTCTATGTAACTCTAAAACTAAGTGCAATTAAAAAAATCAAAAGAAAAAATTATCAGGTTGGGGAGATGCCTCAGTGGATAAAACACGTGCCATGTAAGATGCACAGCAATTAAGGAAGACACCTGATGTTGATCCCTGGCCTCAACATGCACACACACAAACGTACACACACACTCATGTTCCCGCACATGCACTCACATGGACACATGAATGCACAGCACATATACACACACTGAAAGAAAAATAAATGTTTTGAGGGGCTGAAGGTGCAGCTCACGTAGGACATGACTGGTTGAGTTCAGTCCTCAGCAGAGGGGATGGAAGGAGGGATGGAGGGGGATGGAGAGGGATGGAGGAGGGGATGGAGGAGGGCTGTTTGAGTAAGTAAATTC